CCTACATAAGGTCCTGCCGATTATGCAAACCTATATTATTTAGCTTCACACACAGTATTGGTGCCTTGCATATAAGTAGGTACACATATTATTGCTGCATAGTAAAAGTGAGAACTACACTTGTGCACAAGGCTGGGCTCTGTGTAACAGCTAATTAAGGTTCCACCCAATATGCAGGCCTCTTTATTCTGCTACATAGCTTCACACACACAGTTTTGGTGCCTTACCTAAAAGAGAGTGAGGTTCAAAACGAATCAGAGTAGCTAACACCACCGCCAAATCTTGTAGCAGAAAACGGCCCTTGAGTAGTGTGTGCAGGAAGCAGGAAGAGATAGACTGAACCACAGAAGGCAATATTCATGGCCAGGTCCCCAAAGAGTTGGAGGCACAAACTACAGTAAATAGGGCACTAAACCAATATTCATGGCTGGAGTCACAAGACTGCCCTTACTATCACCCCACCACCCACCACCCCAACAGGTTAAAATCTGTACCGGAGTGGTGAGGTTGGAAAAACACAACTCTGGTGCAGCAAAGAAGCTTGAACCCAGGATCTGGTCGTCCAACCAACACCTCACTACCCTAGGCTATGCAGGTGTTCAAGGCAGTGGTGTACAAACACAAGTGGCACACTTGATGACAGAAGTATATGACTCAAATTTTCCCCTTCTCCACTGGACCCTTCCCCCCTCCCCCACCATCATCAGGAAATCGGGAACCATGGTGTTTGGGTCGTGGTTGTTTAGTGTACTAAGAAACATGAGAAGGCAAGTATGTATTCTTCTCCCGAGAACTAGTCTGGTAGAGCTACACCGCCCACTAGCACTAGCACGAAGGAGAAGGGTCTCTGAGTGTGGCTCACACCAGACTACCTTAGAACCGCTACTTAACACCGCCATAATGTACTCCCTTCCAGAGTGTGGGGAGGGTATGGAGTGGTGCAGTCTGCGGAAGACCACCATTGACAACATGACCCAGTACCTGGCCCGCAAGGAGGAGAGGATGCGCCACCAGAGAGGCTCGGCCAATAAGCTCCCCACCTCCGACACCAGAGCTGACGAGAAATCTCCACAGCCTCCTCCCGAGAAGAAGATGAAGACTCAAACTGTGACATGATGATGTGTTTGATCATGTGCATCTCTACATGAATTTTGTGTCAATCATGTGAGACGTCATATTGACTTGCAGCATGAAACTTGAGGGGGAACTCTTTCACAGTTTTCACATGTTCGGTGCGTCATTTTGTTCTGGGGTGTGGGTGGAAGATAGACCATGTATAAAGGAATCCATGAGAGTTTACTCTCTCGACTTGTGTTTACTAGCAAATCAACATAATTACATGCCAACAATGGCTAACCCTGAGCTACCGTTCCCCTTATACAATTTCAGTTCGTTGCGGAGTTTGTACTTTTTAACTAGTCAACCAGTGCATAGATCACTCCTCTGCTAATTCCGTACTACACATCATCACATATTACTAACTAAGTATGCACCATAATATTTCATGCATGTCTGCAGTAGTCAGATACTGAACAGTAATGTAGGGACACATCACACAGACTCGTAGAGAGAGTCTCCCGCAGCAGCAGTGGTAGGCTGGGAGGAGGTGGAGGGAGGAAGGTCTCGTATTACCTCATATTCACCTTCAGCTGTACTTCCAGTCCCTCTCACTACATTGTAGGCCTCATTACTGGAGGTCTGGAACTGCTCCGAGCCCCTGATGGAACAAGGCACAATTGACAGTAGAAAGAAGTAAAATTGAATTATTGACCCTCTGTTTGTGGCACTTAACCTACAGATATTATTTCCTGACAATGTGGGCATTTCTACGCCAGTAGTGTTCGTGGAGGCTGCATAAAAAGAAAAAAGTGTTGACTGTTTTTGATGGTGGTCCATAGTCATGTTACCTTTAGCTCTTTGGAGTTTCCTGATGAAAAAGACTATCACCATAGCCTGCACTACTATAGCAGTCACAATCACCACTCCCAACACACCACCAAGATATGCTACCAATGCTGATGAATCACTCTGAATGCACGAGTCTGATGTAGCTAGAGAAAGAAAAGTGCAGTACACAGTTTATTATACGGGACATTCTGAATAAATGAAGGATGGCTTGCTCGTGATTTATAGTGATTTTTTGATAGCACAAAATATACAAAGCTAACATGTATGCACATGGAGACTCAGAGTCGGGGCCACTGTCTGTTATGATGGTTTCACAACACAGCTACTATCACTGAAATACTTTCAGTATGCTACACACATAAGACACACCTATGATTGTACATGTGATACTTGCTTGCAGAGTTAGTACAGTTGAGGGGTCAGAATATAGTCCAACATCTCCATTCTCATTCACAGCTGCTACTGATATGGAGTAGTTTGTGAAGGGACTCAGTCCAGTCAGAGTAACTCGTCCTCCACTGTTCCAGTTTTCACTATCTCCCAGAGTATAGTCTCTAGTCTCAGTCGTTGAACAAGTCTCATATTGAACTCTGTATTTAGTGATTCGACCATTGACCAGTCTACAGTTGGAGAGGCCACTCCACTGGACAGAGATCTCAGTGGAGCTCTCAGCCTCTGCTCTCACATCCCCTGGAGCCTCTCCTGCACCTGTACACGCACACACATTACACACAGACTGTGAGACAATTTAGTGGGTCTTACTTGTCTGTGGTGTTAGAACTCTCTTGGTCTCACTAGGTCGACTTGTACCTCTGACATCACTGACTGCCTTCACAGTCACCTCATATGTGGTGTAGGCTCTCAACATATCAGTCACTGTTGACCCCACATCTCCTCCAACAGCAATACTGGCAGTAGTGGAGGGAGCACTGACTGTCAGAGTGGCAGTATGAGAGTCAGTACGGTTGCACTGCCCCTGCTGATAATATCCCTGAACTTGAGAGAATGTGACAGCGTATCTTTCAACATCTTCTACTGCATGCCAGGACACTCTGACACTGGCTGATTCTGCAGTAACCACTAGCCTTTTGGAGTATCTGGAGCTGAGGTTAAAATGGTGAGTGGAAAAAGGAGTAAAGAAAGTTGTCTGTTTGGTTAGTGCATAGCTGATTTGAATCGACCAATCAGATTTGTTAGTACGAGGTTCCTGATTTCTCATATGAACCTAGCTAACAAAAGTAACATGAAAACATGATATGAAACCTTGTTTTTTCTGTTGATTTTCAACAAGTTCAACAGCATTTCATGTAAGAAATGTATCCCGCAAAACATGATCTGTACAAAATGTTGATCAAAATAACTGATATCTTGCTTTGAGCCCATCTCCCTCCTTGCCATGTATATACATATTAGATAGCCAGGCAGCTCACGCCCGCCACAAACCACCGCACGCAAATAAGGGGGTGGGGCTCCGCGAGCGAGTGCGCGCGACAAGTCGACGGCGAACGCCTTCGGTATAGCAGCCCGCACAGCGCCTGAATTCGCCTCTCTCTGATTGCGATAGTTCGCGCAGGTCTCCTGTCGCGTTTCTTCGGATGAGTGGCGGAGGACAGTCCCGCAGCGGGAGTAGCTAGAGCGGCGGAGCAGCGTATCCTAGCGTTCGGCGTTCAATAGTCCCGCACGAGATGACGGTCTTGCGCTCTCGTCTCTTTCTCGCATCTTTCAAATTCCCTGTGCTTGGAAACGCAGTGCGCGTATACGGAGCTGATTTGCTCTGCACTAAACATGTTATGTACTCCGTATACTCGGGACATACCGGATTTCAATGAACCCTCGAGCCATCCGCGTAGTGCCCTCGCTGCGCTCGGGACACTACAAACGCGGAGGCCCTCGGGTTCATTGAAATCCGGTATGTCCCTCGCACGTAGTACATAACATAATATACAAGTAAATTAAAAATCCTGCGAATTTAAAAAAGAGGCATATAGGGATGGTATAAAAAGAAAGGGAGACAAGATAGGGATTGGATACATGAAGCATGGTTAATGAACAGATTTGAGTATGCTGACACCCCCAACCCCATCACACAATCCTTATATTGTTGCCTGGTGTGCTACTCTTATAGGGGCCAAAGGTTACTAAAAGCAAGCATTCTTTCACCTTGTCCCTGTTGTTTTAGTAACATTTATACTGCCACATTCCCTTTTAAACTCAAGTTGGACTCTATAAGGGTGTTGGTTACTCAGTAGTGTATTGTAAGTTCTGAGTATTGTAATGGGGAATGTTTAATACTTCACCTAGGCAACAATATAAGGATTGTGTGATGGGGTTGGGGGTGTCAGCATACTCAAATCTGTTCATTAACCATGCTTCATGTATCCAATCCCTATCTTGTCTCCCTTTCTTTTTATACGATCCCTATATGCCTCTTTTTTAAATTCGCAGAATTTTTAATTTACTTGTCTCCACTCATTTTTGTATACTACTACGTATCATCTCTGTGGAAGGGGGCAAGCCCCTATACAAATTTTAATAGAGCAAAATGCCTGTTGTCGTCACGGAAATGATATGCATATCATGTTTCATCTCCATGTGTGCTGCCGTTAGCAAGTTTGAGGAGTGAAGAAGTAATTAAGTTTCACCTCCATGCATGCTACAGTTAGCAAGTTTGAGGAGTGAAGAAGTAATTTTAAAGCAAAGTGCCTGAGGCTTTTTGTTGTTGTAGTTGTCATGGAAACGATGTAATTCACAAGCGCACCATGTTTCACCTCCATGTGTGCTATAGTTAGCGAGTTTGAGGAGTGAAGAAGTAAATTTAAAGTAAAGTGCCTGAGGCTACTTTGTGTTGTGGTTGTCATGGAAACAGTTTAATACGTATGTATATCAAGTTTCACCTCCATACATGCTACAGTTAGCAAGTTTGAGGAGTGAAGAAGTAATTATAAAGATAATCGTCTGAGGTTTCTTCAAACTGTATGCGGTCGTCATGGAAACATGTAGTTGTCATGGAAATGACATAATAGGCATACGTACCAAGTTTCATCTCTATGCGTCCTACCATTAAGGAGTTTGAGACGTGAAGAAGTAAATATAAAGAAAAGTGCCTGAGGCTATTTGTTGTTGTTTATAAATATGTATTGTTGTGTTTTTGATGTTGGGTATTGAATACATTATGTATACAAAGTTTCGTTCGCATAACTCTTACAATTAATGTGAATTACACTAACACATGTATGTCCATTATAATGTATTGTCTGGGGCAATTTTGTTGTTGTTTACAGTAAACAACATTGTTTACAAACAAAAAGGCATGATGAGTCCCATGTGGTTATCGATACGCACATTCTTACAAAAATTTCATGGCTTTATCTCTTTCGGTTTTTGAGTTACGCTGGTCGAAGAAGAAGAAGAAGAAGATGATGATGAACAAAACTCCCTATCATAGCCCCATACATCTATGATGCTAGGTACCATGTCAATCCCTATATACTAAGTACTACCGTACTTAGTGATATGGGCCGAGCTACTGAGTGTTATATAGTAGTTCCTTGGAAGCGCCCACTCATTCAACCATGTTTATAAGAGCATGGACTGGAGGAGCACAGAAGAGGAAAAGCATGTTGGAGCTAGTGCACAGGATACCCCAAACTCAAGCCTCGGGACTAGTCCTGCAAAACTTATTGACAATCGTTCCAAATGCTACAAACAATTGGCTGACCTCAGCAGTCTGAAGCAGTCTGGCTTGTTGTCTGACGCTGAATACGCATCTGAGCATGAAGCCATAATGAATAAGTTGTAAACTTCATAATACTCATATACACATGACACACGGACACTGAGTTTCTGTTTGTATGGTACTACATTTTACATGTATCCACAGTTTGTTATAATTATTATGACTGTAGATATCGCCAGGGGTTACCATTCCAAATGCTAAGGTCAGATAAGCACGTGGGTCTGCACACATTTGAAACAGTTCATGGTTTTGCTTCAGTAGACTCTTTACTTGACAGAAGACACCCTCTGCTAGCATAAGTCAGGTGAGTAGGGTGGTAAAAAACATACCTTGACTCCAGCCTGACTCTCAATCAAATCAACAACTTCTTGGACATGGTGAATGCTCCATTATCACAAAGCGTACTCTAAGGGTGTCTGAGCGCTGGATTGCGACACGGCGCATGACTTGACGGGTGCAACCCATTGATCGCAGAGTCCTGCAGATAGCTGGTGTGCTTATACGAGCTCCAAACAGACTCTCCAGCTTTGTTTGGAAAGTAGATACCATGATTTTCGAGTATTTAGATGTAGCAATGTCAGAGGCTCAAGTTCTCCAAGCATCCCCCTTGGCCCGTACTTCCTGTGTTGCGGTTCAACATCACCTGTCTGCCGAAGTTAGGCCAAACAGTTCTTTCAGAAACGCAAAACAGAGCAGATATCCCGGCTACCGAGTGGCTCAGGGTAAGACAATTCGCCATCTGAGCTCAATGGAGTATGGATTTGCCATGTCGAGAAGCGATTTAGAAAATGAAACGATGACGTTTTGCGCATGCGTAAAACTGAGACTGACAACGAACGTGCAATTTCCGGTATATGGGACAATTATAGAAGTACCGCGCATGCTAAATTCACCGAAGGTTTACACTTTCACCCTCGGCGCGCATGCGCAGCGTTGGTTGCGCAGTTGTTCGTTTGTCTGTCTGTCTGTGTGTCTGAGTGTGTGTCCAGTAAAATTAATTTACATGGTTGGCAAGTATGCGCTTATTTTGTCTTTTGGCACTAAATGCTACGAGTCGGCCCATTAGCAGCGATTTCCAACATCGCAAATTTAGCATGGTCATAAAAAAATTTTACCTGCCAAACACGCTTTACTACCGCCGGTAATCGCTGCTCTAGAGTGGAGCGTACGACTGTATCTATCACGCAAAAATTTGTTCGACCAAGGATATCCCGAGTTACGCTCTTAGTAATCTAGAGTAAACTTCCGCGATGGCGTATAATAGCTTTCCGCGGTTTAGAAGACAATCTACTAGTGGATTAATTAATCCGTTGCGAGAAAATTAGACCCCTCCCACTATTCCATTGCAGCGTGCCTCAGGCAAAACAATTTAATGTTTCAGGGGCTTGCCCTCCCCCCTCCTTAGAGAGACATGTGCACAAGCGTATATAAAACTGAGAGGAGACAAGTAATTATGACATTCTACGAATGGCTTGGGGAATATAACATACCTCAAAATGCGGAGGTTGTTTCATATCCCATCCATATCTTGTCTCCCTTCCTTTTTTTACCATCCCTATAATTATTCCCTCTACTATAAATTCTTTTTATTAACTTGTATTAAGATTAGCATATTATATAGATGCTAAACGACAACATGTCTGTAGGCAACACAAACAGCCTCTTGGCATAACGGGCTCAGGTTTTCGGTTGCATGACCTAAATAGTGGTATGGGTAGTCACTGGTATTGCCAAGCCTCATGAATGAAAGTGCTACACTGGGACATTGAAACAGGAACTGATAAAAGAAGTGAGTGATGGCCTGACTGAGGACACCCGCATCACAATTAGCCTACCAATTACAACAAAAATCTCTTGCCTATATGGAATTTTTCTCTGAGGGAGGTGAACAAGTGTGATAGAGCATGACCTTTAATAGTTAACGTCAACCCTCTGACTCACTGGGACCGACTTCGGTTTGTGGTATATACCTCCCACGTTCAATTTCCAGACTGTGGCATCCAACTC